ACATAGCTCACTTCTTTCAAATTTTTTATTTTATATTTTTTGCTTTTTTATTTAAATTAAAAACAATCTTATTTTACATACCAATTCCAGTTCCCACTCCCTCCCATCCCCCCATGTCCCCCACCAACCCCCATCCACTCCCCAGGTAGGGTGAGTCTTTCCATGGGGGATCATCAAAGTCTGTCACATCACTTGGGGCAGGGTCTAGGCGTTCCCCCATGTATCTAGGCTGAGAGAGTATCCCTCTATAGGGAATGAGCTCCCAAAGTCCATTTGTGCAATAGGGATACATACTTGTTCCACTGCCAGAGGTCCCATAGACTGCCCTGGCCTCCCAACTGACAGCCTGGTTCAGGGAGCCTGTTTTGGTCCTATGCTGGTTCCCCAGCTATCAGACTGGAGTCCGTGAACTCCCACTTATTCAGGTCAGCTGTTTCTGTGGGTTTCCCCAGCATGGTCTTGACCCTTTTACTCATCACTCCTCCCTCTCTACAACTGGATTCCAGGAGTTCAGCTCAGTGTTTAGCTGTGGGTGTCTGCTTTTGCTTCCATCACCTACTGGATGAAGGCTCTAGGATGCCATTTAAGGTAGTCATCAATCTCATTATAGAGGAAGGGCATTTAAGGTAGCCTCTCTACTATTGCTTAGATTCTTAGTTCGGGTCTTCCTTGTGGATCCCTGGACAATGTCAGATTTCTCTTTAAACCTATAATGGCTCCCTCTATTAAGGTATCTCTTCCCTTGCTCTCTTTCTCTATTCTTCCTGATCCCTCACGTCCTCCTCCCCCCTCTCCTTCTTCCTACCTCCCTCCCCGTCTCCCCATGCTCCCAATTTGCCCAGGAGATCTTGTCCCTTTCCCCTTCTCCAGATGTTGATATATATGTCTCTCTTAGGGTTCTCCTTGCTTATTAAATATTTTCTCTTACAAGGTCTTACAGTAGCAGTCAGATACTAAACCAAGATGTCACTCTAAGAAAACACTTAGATCACCACACTTTAGATGGCTGAATCTTCCTGTAAATGTGAGATGATCCCCAAAAGCAGGAGCAGACAACAGCCTTGAAAAGTGCTTATCTCCCCAGTTTACTTAGTCTCATGAGTTTAAAACTTTTCTTTATACCAACTCTTCCATGACATGGACCAACTGTCCTCCTACAAGAACAAACCCCCTATAAATATAGATATGGTTGTAAATATGTGTCACAGAGTCATAAACCAGAAAGAACAGAAATCACTCCACCCAGAGTAGATTTCAAGGCAAATAAATACACTCATAGCATCTACTCACTACTGTAAAATTTGCTTTATCAAAATATTTAGTTCTTTCTTTTTGGCTGCTTAGATTGTAACTAAAGATTACTAAAATAACATGATTGATTATATCATGTAGCAAAAACAGAAAGAGAAAAAAAAAATACTGTCTTCTATTTTTAGGGTACTACTTACTTGAGCCCATTCCCAAATGCTTAAACACTTTACCTGTAGGTCTTCTGATGGCATTGTATATGGTTTGGCATGCATTTGAGCAGCAATATCTAAGCATTTCACTCTACTATGCTTTTAGGAGCACAATTACATGAGATAATTTTCTCATTTCTTTCAAAACTATCCAACAAATGATTAACAGATGTAGAGCATGCTTAAATATATACCACTGCTTAATGAAGTCTTAATGAATAAGGAAACAAACCCAGGTGGTCATTCTAATGATTGACATTTCAAAGATTACACCAAAAAAAAAAATACTGATTATATGGGTACTAAGATAAATAAATAAATATCAGGTGGAGACTACAGTCAGAGCCTGCGGCAATGTGAGTGAGAAAAGCATGTGACTTCTAAGGACTAGGAGGAAATGATATCCTGGCACACTAGTCACTTTATGGCAGATTAGTAAGTAGTTCCTAGATACAAAATGAGTTTTGTTCAACATTTTTGTCTTCTGAGAAGACTTCCATGTCTATTATAAGGAAATGAGCATTCCTTTAAGAAATCACCTCTTATGGTTTGGATACAGGAGGTATTCCCAAAACTCATGTTACACTTTGGTTCCAGCTAGAAATGAGATGCAAGCTTCCTCACTACTGGCTAGTCTCTGTGGTACCAGAAGGTGCAATCACTGGGCAAGAATTGTCAACATGGTTCTATTCAGCGGTGGACCCTGTGTGCTACACTACCAATCCACCAGGCAAGATGTGCCTGCAGGTACAACAGTGGCAAGACTGCTGTGGGAGCAACCAAATGCTTTCTGGTAGAATCTGAAGTCTGCTCAGTTCTGATACTGTAAACCTGGTCAAAAGCCTTTGGTTAAGAAGGTTATAAGCCTTAATGTACAAGCTATTGGTGTTGTTTTGCTAAAGACATGTGCTAAGTATTCTGTTTATGCCCACAGACTAGGATTGCTGTCAGCTTTCCCCAGAGAAGCGTCTTTTTGCTGTGAGCAGCAGTTAAAGAGACTCTTAAATAGTCAAAGTCCTGGGAATAAGTGATTTGTTGAATTCTCAGTCCTAAATCACCCCATCAAGGTTCAGGGAACACTGCAGAAGAGGGGACAGAGAGACTATAAGAGCAGGAGGAAGGGATGGAATGCTGTGGAATGCTGTCCTCCATGCATAGCTGTGGCAGTCTTTGAATTCTCAATACCTGAGATGAAATGAACAAGACTGTCAATATTCTGTCACAGAGGGTCAAGGGCTCATAAGACCATGCCCCAACCTGAGGCAGTGAAGGGTTGGGGGTGGGGGTTCATAAAGCTCCAAATTCGGCTAGAGAATCTATAGGCAATGAATGCTTCATGGGGGAGGGAGAACAATTCTCTTCAGTAGTAAGGTAGTCATGATCCCATAAATAACCCTTCACCCATGCTCATGTAAATAACCCTAATTAAATTCATTAATTCATCAGTACACACACACACACACACACACACTGTAGGGGAAGATGAAAGTAGAAGGGACTAGTTAGAAAAAAAGGGGATCAGCAAGGAGACAAATGAGGATAATGGGGGAAAAGAGGGTAAATATGAACAAAATGAGCAAAATACATTATATTCATATCACAATAAAATACCATAAAGAAACTTGTCTGTATAATTAGTATATGCTAATGACATTTTTAAGAGTAAATACTTCATCTGTTGAAAGCCCAGACACTGTTGATAGAGCCAATCATTGAGAAGTGATTGGACCACGGGGACTTTACTTTTAGTATTGATCTATTAAAGGATATATAAATTGATAGCATTATTTGAAGGTAGTGGAAAGTGGGAGGAAGTGCCTGGTATCAGGATTTCAGGGCCTGGAATACCATGCCTTTATAGACTATTCCTTAGCCATGCCCTGTTCTTGTTTCTCTCTGCTTCCTGGCTACCATGACCTAAAAAGTTTTAGTCTACTGTGCTCTTCCATGATGTTTCCACCTGGACCCAGATCTAAAAACAACACAGCCAACCACCAATGGACTAAAGTTACACTTGTCATTTGTCACAGTGACACTACCTCACCTCTCACAACTCTGGAGGCACAGGTAACTAGGGAATCCTTAGCTCATCCTACTTCTATTCTACACTGAACGGCAAATTAAAATGTTTCATTATGCTATCATCATATTTGGTACATTATGGACACATGAACCAAGCAAGAACATTCTAAGCATTTTCTGTTTCTCAATTCCTTTTGGACTGGAGAGATGAAGTGACAAGCCTCTGTAAGCCTTCTACATAATTCACAAAGAAAAGAAACTGTGCCTCCAATATACTACTTAGACCACGACTGACCTAAATACTAGACTAATAGTCACTTAAGACAAAACTCCTAAGACCAAATGAACTCACTGAGAGAATGAAAATGACAGATGTCTGTATGTATGTTTATGTATGCATGCACACATGTATGTGTATACATACATATACATGTACACATATAAGCACACACACTTTATCAGAAGTGTATACAGATCAAGACAGGCCACTGTATTATTTCAAGGGACTCTTCTATGCATAATCCCCAAATACTATCTATGCTTCAACCATTCTAAAAAGAATGCCTTAGAAGGTATCAACACTGGTTACAAGTGGTGGTCTTTGGAAAATACTGAATGGAGAACTAAACTAGAAGCAACATGAAATGATTTATAGTATGCATATACATTAGAACAAAGATACTTTGCATACACTACAGGTTACTTGACAAAATACAAATGAGCATGACAAGCTAAGAAAATAAGAAACTCCAAACACATAATTTCCCATATTAAACATATTTTCACCAACAACAACACCTAATGTTTTCAACTAGGAATGCATGATTTTACACTGAGAGGTGAAATTTTTCTTCACTATTTCTGAAAGGAAGCATAAGCACAGACATCAGTAAACAGAACATAAAATAAGGCTGTGCCTGCTGGGTCACGAAACCCTCCCTTCACGGAAAACATTCTAGAGACTCTAACCAGTAGAAAAATGAAAGAACACTGTGTTAAATGTATTCCTGTTTTAAAGGACAAAGGGAAGTCTTATTTATGTCTGACTGCTTATTACACTCAAACTCCATGCAAACGAGAAGACAATTATTTACCCTTACATCCTTGCCTGAAGATCAGTACCACACAGAGTAAGGATACAGTGTTTTTGGTTATTAAATGACTGCGAGAAGACAGGGCCAAACTATAAGGAATCTATCATGAACTGATTAAGTTGGGTCCATCTTAGGCCAATATTAGAACTTAAAAGGAATGCATCATGGAATGGGCTGTGAAAAGCAGAATACAAATGTTCTGTATTCAGGTTTCCTAGCAAAATGTGGTTTTAATTTAAAAAAAAAATGCATTGTTAAGTATAAATCAATTCAGGAGAGGAAGAAAGAAACCAAACTGTGAAGATAAAGACATTTTTTTAAAGCCATACTTTAAAACTTTGTAATAAATAATGCGCAAACTAAAAATAATCTACGATTGTAAATACTAACCTTTTCTCCCATTTCCTGTCTATATTCTCTTTACCTGAGAGGAATCTGCTTGGGCTAACTGTGCGGTGACCTTCAGTATCTGCTGAAGATTCTGACCTGCATCTTCAATAAGCAGGTGAGCCAGCAGTAAAAACACATGAGTGGGGATCACTGTAGTGACAGGGAGCAAGGACTCTACTGCAGCCAGCCAGTCACTAGCCGCAGAGTCTTCTCCAATTACTTCAAGAACCCTCCAGGCTGTGAAGATTGAGCCATACATGCTGGTTATGGGAAAAGTGAGCCTGCAGGAGATCTGAAAAACAGACACAAGAAGGCATTAAAACAAGAGGAGGATATGTCGGGAATATATATTCCTATTTCTAGCATTCACTTATTCTCTAATTCATTATCAAAGCATTCCCTCCAATACAAGACATACACACTTTGAGGTCTTGCCAAATAGCTCTCCACCCACATGTGAGGTAATAGGATTAGACAAGGAGGAAAACAGTTGTTCCATAGAATCTGAGAACACTTTAGTACAGAATTTTCTCATATTTACAATGCATTCCCAGTTAAGAAAGAGAGGGAAAATGAATCAATATACAAGATCCAGAGGCAGCAGACTTTGAGAAAAGCTATTCTCACTTTAAAATAAACCTCAGTGATCAGCTATGAGAAGGAAAACAGACACTCCATTTCACTTGGCCAGGCCCTCGTAAGTGGCAGCCCAGGGCAGATGGCAGACTTGGACACAGGACAAATCACACTGGTAACAGACAGTATGTGGACGGGAACAGAGTTGCTTTAGCTTGAGCCTGGGAAGTCATCAGTAATTGTGAATAACTTTTGCTCGAAGTTGAACAAGACCGAGAGATAGTGCTGTATTTCAGCAAATCTGAGAAATGGCTCCTCACATAAGTGAAGTAGTGTAGTGAGATCCAGGAAATGCACAAACCTGTGCATTAATGCTTGAGCAGAAATGATTCACCTGAAGCCACAGGCATCACTGAAGCATTTGACACTGTCTGCTAATAGTGTCATTCAAATTTCACAGAAAAGGATGACAAAAATTAAAATCTCTAACTGCCTATTAAGGGAGGATGATTTATAAAAATAACCATTGAAAGAATAAGAAATAAATGCTAATATTGGTAAAAATGCAATAAATGTACTAATATAAAACCAACATGTTATAGTATGTGCTCTTTCAAAGTTTATGATTTAGAAGATCTCAGCAATTTATAGAACTCTGTGACCACCACCAGTGCCTATTCTTATGACATTTTCATCAGTCCTAGGGGAAACTTCAATAGCCTTTCCCTACTCCCAGTCCCTGGAAACTACCCACTGGCATTAAATTTCTATTCTGGCTATTTTATAGGGTAGAAACCACATAATTTTTTAGCTTTTATGGGAGGTTTTATATGACAGACACCAACCATTTTGTGGCTCCCTTTCACTTAGCATGTTTTCAAGGTTTGCTCATGTCATAGCTTATGTCAGGACTTTTTATTGCCAAATAGCATTGCATCATATGTATATAGCTCCTCTTGTCTATCCATTCATGATAGACAAAATGCTTGAGCCATTTCCATTCAGGGAGGCAATTATGAACAATGCTATCAGCATTTCTACAAATGTCTGTGAGACAATATAAATATACAATTTTCTTGAATATGTGCTAAAGAGTGACTACTCTAAATACTACTCTAAAAACAAATCTAGAAATACTAGCCATACTATTAACTAATACGAAAAGATTCTCCAAGTCATAACATACAAGATATATTACATAGAATAGTACTTTTTTCCAAAAGAGTATGATAAAAAATATGACATATTACTAAATTATATTATATAAAAAATTAGTAATCACTAAACAAAATATTACATTTGAAAGAGTGAGAATGGTACTGAAACCACAGTGAAAAAGAGGACTTGCATCATATACCATTTCATATTTCTTGAATTTGTGAATGTATTACTATTGCAAAAGACTTACAAAATTTAAGTTTAAATAATATCTAAATTTGAATACCTTAGTTTCATTAAAAATACTATTCATAAGAAGATGAAATTCATTAATGACTATGGACAAATCCTTTAGACTAATGACAACAAACATTGGACTTGAGACATAAAAGACTCAGTGTTCAGAGCAACCAAGCTAGCTATTAAACATCACATGATTTCTCAAAAACTCACTTTACTTATTTGTGCATCTTAAATAAAGACCAACTTCTTCACAAATATAAAATATCATGGGGTAACTCTAACCAAACAAGTGAAAGACCTGTTACAACAAGAACTTTAAGTCTTCTGGAGGCATCACCATCCATGAATTCAAACTCTACTATAGAGCTATAGTGATAAAATCAGCTTGGGATTGGCATAAAAACACACATGGACCAATGGAAACAAATCGAAGACCCTGACATAAATCCACACACCTATGAACACATGATTTTTGACAAAGAAGCCAAAAAGGTACAATGTAAATAGGAAACCATCTTTAACAAATGGTGTTGACATAACTGGGTGTCAAGATGTAGAGTACTGCAAACAGATCCATATCTATCACCATGCACAAAACTCAAGTCCAAGTGAATCAAGGACCTTAACTTAAATCCATTACATTGAACCTGATAGAAGAGAAAATGTAAAGTAGCCTTGAATGCATTGATACAGGAGACCACTTCCCTAAATAAAACACCAACAGCACAAACACTGAGAGCAACAATGAATAAATGGAACCCCCTGAAACTGAGACGCTTCTGTAAGGCAAAGGACACTGCCAATAATACAAAAAAGGCAGCCTACAGAATGGGAAGAGATCTTTACCAACCCCACATCTGACAGAGGGCTAATCTCCAAAATATATAAAGAACTCAAGAAACTAGACATCGGAAATACCAAATAATCCATTTTAAAAAATGGGGTACAAAGCTAAACAGAGAAGTCTCATCAGAAGAATCTCAAAAGGCCGAAAGACATTTAAGGAGTTGCTCAGCATACTTAATCATCAGGGAAATGCAAATCAAAACAACTCTGAGATACCATCTTACACCTGTCAGGATGGCTAAGATCAAAAATACTGAGGACAACTTATGTTGGAGAGTATATAGTGTCAAGGGAACACTGCTCTACTACTGGTAGGAGTGCAAACTTGTACAGCCATTTTGGAAATCAATCCGGTGGTTTCTCAGAAAATTGGGAATGAATCTACCTTAAAACCCAGCAATACTACTCTTGGGCATATACCCAAAGGATACTCAAACATACCACAAGGACACTTTCTCAACAATGTTCATACATTATTTTTAATAGCCAGAACCCAGAAACAATCTAGATGCCCCTCAACTGAAGAATGGATAAATAAAAAATGTGGTATATTTATACAATAAAGTATTACTCACCTGTTACAAAAAAAAAACAGAAAAACAAAAAAAAATCACAAAAGTTGCAGGCAAATGGATGGAACTAGGAAAAAAAAAAAAACCATCCTGAGTGAAGTAACCCAAACGCAGAAAGACAAATGTGAACAAATGTGATGTGTGCTCCCTCATAAGTAGACATTAGACATAAAGCAAAGGATAACCAGAATATAATCTGAAGCTCTAAAGAAGCTAGGTAACAAAGAGAACCCTAAGAGGGACACATGGATCGCCTTGGGAAGGGGAATTAGATGAGATCTCCTTGGCAAACTGGGGGCAATGGGGTTGGTAAAGGGGAGGGAATGGGGGTGAGAACATGTGGAATGGCCAAGGTGGGGAGGGAAGGAAAGGGAGAGCACAGAGAGAGATAACTTGATAGAGAGAGCCACTATGGGGTTAGGGAGAAACCTGGTGCTAGGGAAATTCACAAGGATAACCCCAGCTAAGACTCCTAGCAATAGTGGAGAGGGTGCCCAAACTGGCCTTCCCCTATAATGAGATTGGTGAATATCTCAGCTACCATCATAGAGCGTTCATCCAGTAACTAGCGGAACCAGATGAAGACAACCACAACCAAGCACCAGGCCAAACTCTGGGAATCTAGTTGAAGATAGGGAGGAGGGATACATGAGCAAGGGAGGTCAAGATCATGATAGAGAAATCTACAGAGACAGCCAAACCAAGCTCGTGGAAACTCATAAACTCTACACCAACAGCTCTGGAGCCTCCATTGGACCGAACTAGATCCTCCATATGTGGGAGACAGTTGTGAAGCTTAGGTTAACAGAGGGGCCCCTGGCAGAAGTATCATGATCTATCCCTGGTGCATAAGCTAGCTTGTTGGAGCCCATTCCTGATGACAGAATGCCTTACTCAGCCTTAACGCAGTGGGGAGGAGCTTGGTCCTGTCCCAGCTTAATGTGCCAGACTTTGCTGACTCCCCGTAGGAGCCTTACCTGTTGGGAGGAGTGCATGAGTGGTAGGCTGGGGGTAAATTGAGGGGAGGCAGGAGAAGGCATGAAAAGGAGAACTTTGGTTGGAATGAAAATAAACAAGTAAACAAGACTAACTTCTTGACAAAGTACGGGAGGCAAATATGAAAGCATCTAATATCTAATAAAGCCCTCAGCACAATGCCTGAAGTTATAAATATAGGAAAATATTATCCTTGTCATCTTGGGAAAAGAAAAATAAAACCAGTGGGTATGAGTAGAAAATAACTGGAAATCAACATGAACCATGAATCGAGGCCAAAGCAGGAACATTACTCTGACGTGGGTAAACAAGGAAGAGAAAAGTAATTCCACATTACATGAAGTATTATCTCCTATCTTGCTTTTGTTTGCTTGGTTGCTTAAAGGTAGACCAGCAGTAGGAAATCAAAATGTTAAATAATATATCACAGTACGTTCCCCTTGCCCCATTGAGTGACAAGTACTATTGGCATACTGTCAGGGGAAGAGTGTCATCAAGGGTTTCCCCACCCTGAGAGAAACAGATGAAAGGGTTAGTATATTCTGCTTTTCAGAGGAACCAGTAGAAAGTAAAAGGATTTGTAGTATGTGTACTATAGCACAACAGAAACTAATGAAGAAAAAAACCATAGGAAAAATTACACTTAAAAAAATACTAGAACTGGCATGGTGATGGCACATGTAATCCACCATTTGTGCAATGGGGCAGGAGGATCAGGAGTTGAAGACCAGACTAAGCTAAGTGACACTCTTCTGATTAAGAAGACTGAGATGGGGAAGGGATGGAGGGGGAAGGCAATGAAAGAGATATCTTGATAGAGAGAGCCATTATGAGGTTAGAGAAAGAAACTTGGTGCTAGAGAAATTCCCAGGAATCCACAAGGATGACCTCAGCTAAGACT